CCCATGGCAGCCATGGCAGCCTCCTCAAAGCCACTCAGATCCCGTGTGCTCTTCCCCTTAAGAGCAGCTGGTGGGATTTGGTGCTGGTGATACTGCCTCATTTAGGCAAGTCTGGCTCTCGTTGCTTGTGCTGCTGATTGTCCTCTACCTTGAGGTGGAAAGAGAGAAATAGTTAGTAGTAGGAAAGAGAGGCTGCATGGAAGTACCAAAACTGGCTTGTTCTGAGAGATGAAAATTCAGAGACTTTCTAAATTTCTATTGCAGCATAAGGTGATAAATTTAATGATCAAAGTCCTGCAGTAGTTATTAGGTGGGAGATCAGTAAGATTTTATATGACCTATTCTTAAAAAAAAAAATTCACGAATGATCCGAGATTTTTCAGAGGAGTGGAAAAAATCAGTAGGATATTTCCTAGTTCGTCCTAGAGGACTCTGCTGCCAAAGCAGCTCCTTGGCATTTCAGTGAACTGCTTGGAATGTGCTGAGGACGTTTCCAGTTTAACTGGGTAGAAGTATACCAAATACTTTGTTGTTAAGTAGACGATTTTATTGGTTTTAAGGAATTTTGGTTTTAAAATTGCATGATTCAAGGTTTCACAAACGTAGGCAGGCATGAGAGAATTTCATAGTTTACTGCAACAAATTATATGAAATAGAAACCCCACAAGAGTGTGTCTAACTAGTGAAAGGTATGTAAAACCCTGTTGTTATGAAGAAACACAGTTACAATAATAATGCTTTCTCTAGGTGTGATTCATGAAAGTCTATTTTGGTGATTTAAATAACAAAGAAGTAATTCTTCAGCTTAGGTCTCACAGTCCCATTAGGAAAGGACTGCCAGATCTGCCTGTGTAAATCCAAGTTATCTCCTGCTTTTCAATGACACACAGAGTCAGAATAACATTTGCAGTCCCAAAATTACTTGAAACACCAGCATCAGCCTATTCACAGCTGAGCTAAAATCTATTTTGTAACATTTTGTATTTCTGTGGCACTTGAGAAAATAATTTAATTGCTGTGTATGCAGGAATTTGTGCATTGCTTTTGAATGTGCGTTACTAATTCTATCTGTATTCTGTATAAGTGACTATTAGTAAGTTTGCTACTCAGCTGTATTCACAGCAGACTGCTGTCTGTTTCGGGGGGGTTGGGAGTGCCAGCTGCCTATCACATTTAAGTATGAGAGAGCAAGCTCTGAATATTCCCAGCTGAAGTCAATAAAAGCCTCAGGGATACAACACCCTCTCCAGATAGCTTAAATACAGGAGTTGAGAAAACTGCTCTGGAACTATTTATATCTGTTTTACTGGGGAAAATTGTATGGCATAAATGCAAGTAAAGATAATCTATTTTCTTTAATATTCTGTAGGGTGATAGAAGAACAAGAAGGTTGTGGGGTTTGGTTTTTTTAAAACAAACCTATATACTGTAATAACAAATTAGCAAGTGTTCATATTTTTTCATGATAGCTATTAAATCACTCTCAAAAGCATTAGTTTATGTACAGTCAGTAGAGAGCCTGTGGAGTATTTGCTGGATCACTCTCAGTACAGGTAATGCATGGTAAACAGGCAATATGACCTTTTCTTCATTAACCAAATTCTTTTTGACTAGCTTTTCATACTAAGCAGCTCCTAATAACTGCAATTGTCGTGATCCCTATAACAGGACCGTTTGGTATGAGAAGTTCTCAAGCTGGGATGGCTGTGGGTTGCCGGTGGGACAACCCACCGGCAGTATGAAGGAGGTGCACCCACCAGATAAGACTTCGGTCCTTTGCTTCAACGCAGAGCTGTTCCCCTCCTTCACATTGATTTCTGTTCCGCATTTTCCTGCTACACTGGTCTCCTGGGCGCGCTGTAGGCAGTAGTCTTAATAACCAGCACAGATGTTCTGCTTAGTTTACTAATAATTTGCAGCAATTTGTAGCCTGTTAGTATAATAAATTTCGGCAACACTGTTGACACAAGTTGTTATCATGTATAAACGGCTGTGCTTTGATAAATGAATGCTGAATGTTCTTTTAAAAGCGTGCCATGTTGCTTCAGAGCATATGCTTCTTATTATGGACAAGTTTCCAACTGAACGAGGGTGAAACCCTGCACTTGGGGCTTTCTGAGGATGGGTGAGCAAGGCAGGAAGATGCTCTCTTAATAATTTGAAAGACGTAGCTTCTTACTCTAATTTCAGTCTTCTGATGTGTCATAAAACTGACTGGGTTAATACAGAAACCAGGCAACTGTCTCCTGGTTTCAAAGTACATGGATTTATTACAGAAAGTTTTGGATAGCCTCGTCGGTGCGTTGCCCTTTACTTGAAAGATCCAGCAGCATTTTCTGTGCGTTACCAGAAATACTTTTGGGTTAATGTTACACACAGAGTCTAAGTTAGGTACTTTTCCTTGCACTGCGTATTTCTTGCTAACAAGATTAAGCAACAGATTTTTTTTTTTTTTTTTTTGAGATTTTACATTTTTAGGTCTTTTATCTGTACCATATCCTATATAATTCAAGATTAATGTTTTGGATAAAGAGTTTGTTCCTACCAGTTAATGAATGACAGAGTCGATTACCCATTAGTGTGACTCCCACAGTATAACACATCTTTTGCACAGCAGAAAGAAGATATTTTAACCCATTAATCCGTGCAAAGAAGACAAAGGATTTTCTTCTCATTACATTAAACTCATTCTTTGAGATTAATATCTCTCTTCTAGGAATTTCTATTTGGTAGAAGTTGTATTTTCTGGAAAAAAAAAAAAAAAGGAGTTGTTGCCATTTACTTCCCTTTTTTAATGGTTTTCTTGCTTTTAATTATACTGGGTACCTCTTTCAAGCCTCATGCTGTTCAGTTTTAAAAGCTAAAATATCACCATGCCTGCTATACAATATGCAGGCCTTTGTCATGCTTTTATGGTCAGATGCCTTCCTGTATTATATGTGAAATAATAATTCATCTCCTTAAATAACTTCATGCTCTTACCCACCTTTCTCTCTACCAGAAAGAGAAAATAAACAAAGCTTTAGAAAATATTATGAAATAATAAAATCCATATGACGGTAAAATATTAGCAGGGCAATGACCTTTGTCTGGAAACTTCACCGTAATCACATTAATTTTTGTGTTCATTTCTCTCCAACATGTCAGAGTTGCATATAAAACTTTGGTTATGTTACAAAATACCTTAGGGTAGAAAGAATGGTCTCACAAACTGATCTGAATCTGCACGGACAAGTTTTGAAAGATATTAGAGGCTTTTCAAGGATGCAGAGCTGTTTCTTGAGAGCATGCCGCTGCCCCGTGGATGCGGCGTGGTCGGCCCCCAGCTCAGTTGTGCATGGCGGGAGGGGAGGGGAGGTTGGCGTTGTCAGGGATCCTGCTGCAGAGGGAGGCACGGCCGCCTGGAAAGAGGGCTGACCCCCAGCAGTGGAAGGTGGCTGTGTTACAGCTCTGCTTTTCTTTCCAATGCCCTGTATTACTTTTATTCTGCACTTTCCCTTCCATCTCTATCCCCACCCCAGCATTTTCCTCGGCTTACGCTAGGAAAATACTGAAGCTCTACCGTTTAAATGCGTTGTAAATATCCTTCCGAGAGAGACCTTTTTTGCTATTGCCTCCATGTACGCTATTTAATCTCTCCCTTTCCGTAGTATCTGAGGAACATACTGACTGTGCCTATGCGGTAGAGCACTGCTCCACAGTCCTCGCGCCTCCGTTGTGCAGACCAGGGCGCCTCTGGGGAGAAACTGCGACTCCCTCCACAGCAAGTGCCCAGTTCCCTTCCAGAGGGAACTTGGGGGCGAATGCATGGCAGAATACACCTACTTCATTGCATAAATTCAACAATTATATGAAGGATTATATGCAACGGTGATGGATAAGACACCGTATACTGAAAATGCAGGATGCTTCACTTTGTGTCTTGGGACTTGAGCTGCTAAAAATTGTATCAGTTTATGCTGAAATTACTGTATTTCTGTTGATGTCAGTGAAATCACAATTATGTTGTGGACAGAGCAGGTTTTGCCCATGCATCTTTTGCTTTCTTCCTAAATGTAAAATTATCCTTGGGATCTGGAAGATTTGGGCACGTTTCTGAAATGCCTGTTTTTACTGATTATTATGTATTCATTTTAAATGCCTGACCCCTGTAATATACTTGCAGGTAAACCAGTTATGATTGTTACTGAATATATGGAAAATGGTTCCTTGGACAGCTTCCTACGGGTAAGTGCAATAGAGAACTACATGGTGCAGGGCTGGCTCTTGTTCTGAATTTGTTACGAATTTGCTGCCACCGTACTCTGATTCATCATCAGCTCTTGTTGCTGGATATTTCATTATTTCTATTTGGTTTTGTGTGCATTGTGATGTGCTCAGAAGGCCAGGTAGGGATCTGCTAGTCCATTTTGTCTGCTTGCAGTAAGTATTACTCCAAAATGAAGAACATTTTTGTTTTATTAGTATGTCACATCAATAAAAAAACCAAAACAAAACAACACAACATTCTGGCACACAAAAATGGAGATTGTTTTTCTGAGGGCTGAATTACTACTGCAATGCAGTTACGCTTATTGGTTGGCAGACTGTATGTCTTACCAACCGATTTCCAAAGTGAATGGATTTGTGGAAATTTTATTAGTAAACCAGTAGTACTGAGCCAAGAGCCGTTTCCCTAACTGCGAAAAGTTTAGGGAATAACCCCGTACCTGAGGGTGTTTGAAATGTTTTGCTAGGAAACTTTATTGGCCTGTTTTCTTCTCCCAACCTTAGACATACTAATACTGTTGTTGATTTATCTTTGTTTTCTGTCAAAGTTGGTAGCGAGCCTAGAAAAATTTGAATGCTCCCTGTGTCACCAAGATTTACTTGTGGCAAAACAAGAAGTGTAGCAGAAATGAAATCCCATCTGAGGGGAAACACTAGTTTAATTTTAATTTGTTAGGGCAAATTCAGCTGTGGCTGGGAGACTGCTTTGGTTCTGCCACGGTTGAATGACATTATCCCCCAAATTCATAACACTGAACTAGACGTTTAACCCCAAAAGGGGATATATTGTCAACCTTAGTTTCAGTATGTACCATATATGTTATGATGTCCACTGGAGCATGTAAAACACATATAAATAATGTGTCAGTATATCTGAATGAAATATATCTGTACTGAACTGTATATATTTTGTTTAGGCTAAAAATCCTTGAAGAAAGCTCTGAGGAAAGGAGAATAATTTCTGACTGTACAAAACAGTTGTTCAGCTTGTTCGTCCATTTGAGTGTGGTTTTTTGTTTGTTTTTTTTTTTTTACTACTCTTGTGTGGAATCATAGATAAGAACCTTACGATTCGTTAATATCACAGGCAACCCAGGCCATATAACCCTTTTTATAAATGCCTTTTAAAACTTTCGTTTCCTTTCCCCATTGCCATTGAAAGGCTATCTCAGCATCCCATTCCTTTCATGGTTAGAAACCTCCTTCTGATTTCTAGCTAAATCTTTTCCGGGGTCTATATAGATTCTCTTGTGTTAGCTCTAGTTAAAGAAGGTTTCATAACAGGGAACTGCTAAGAGTCTTTTATAATAATGAATTTCTTCATGAAGGGAATTCTGAGAGGCTCTTTAAGCATCTGTTGTGCCATATATTTGTCTAATGTTTACAGTGCTAATATCGCCCCTAAGTATATTAATCAAAAATGAAATGAATTGCAGACTGATTCGTGTGAGCTCACCCCACATGGCGGAGCCAGCTCCCATGTATTTAATAAAATTCTGGAAGAAGCAGCAGGAAGAGCTGGAGAGCTGCCCATGATGATACATTTACAGCACTGGGGGATTCATTTGAGAGCTGCACTAGGACATACTGTTGTCCTGTCGTCTGTGTATCTATATATCAATATCAAAGCTAGATGTTAACAAGCAGCATTAGTAAGAGCTGGGAGATTTAAAACATGTGTCTAGAAGTAGACAATTAGAAATATATGCAACTATTGGTTTCTAGGCTAAGTCACAGTGTGTTTAAGTGATTTTTATGTTCCCCTGAAGTTGAGAAAAATTTTGAGGAATGAGTTTAAATTTAATGGAATTTGAAAGCCACTGAATCAGATCAGCATTTGCTTTTGTTAGAAAAAATGTTTGTGTAATAGAAAACCTTCAGTAGTCCATTGGGTAAGGCTGGGATTTTCACTAATAATTCCTATGGTCTTTTAGGGAAGTTGGACATCTGTTTCCCTAATGTCCCAACACTCCAGTCTCATGAGCACACACAACTTAGGTTTATGTGCTGCTTTTACACAGGTCCCATCCAGGAAATTAAAATTCTGATGACAGCAAGAACAGGAAAAATAAGTTTTTATCTGAATTGAAAATCTGTCCCCTTCCCTCAGCTGATTGGGAGATTATCCTCCATGTGACATTGAAATCATGACCCCTGACTCACGAGCTCTTCGCTTGAGGAGCTTCCAGGGCCTTTATCAAAACTTCCGTGCAAGGAGGAACATGAACAATCTCTGAAATGACATTTCAAATATTTTCCAGAAACATGATGCCCAGTTCACAGTCATCCAGCTAGTAGGCATGCTTCGAGGGATCGCATCTGGCATGAAATATTTGTCAGATATGGGTTATGTCCATCGAGATCTAGCTGCTCGTAATATCCTCATCAATAGTAACCTGGTATGCAAAGTCTCAGATTTTGGTCTGTCTCGTGTACTGGAAGATGACCCAGAAGCTGCTTACACCACAAGGGTGAGTTTCTTTGTTTATCCTTTTAAAATTCTTGTTGACTGTGACAAAGTTAGACTGAAATCTGAGGGAGTCCCCCAGGCTTATAGTCTGTGTTGCAGAGGCCATCCAGTCTTGCATGCCCAGAGATGTTCAATAAACCATAAACTCATCACAGCTATTTTTTAATTCGTGTCTCAGAGAAGATAGAAGGCAAAAAATATGGTTTCTGTTGATAGATTGTTTTTCTTAAAGTATGCAAAATTCATGGCTCAGTTTCTGCTGGGTGTGTAAAGGAGTGAGTACAACAATTAAGGCCTGTGCTGGTTTGGCACACAATAATGTAAGACTTCATGTGTGCTTTGAGCAGGTTTTATTACACTGCTGATTTAGCTTCCACCCAGTAAAAAAAAAAATCCTACCCAGCAATTTTTTTTTTTTTTTTTTTTTACCTTTTTGTGTCTTCTAGTATGATGGGACATATGTCTGATCGGAGCATACTGATATCACTGTTCTGCAAGGGTGTATCAGTTATACCTGCTGTTGTACCCCTAACTGAGTAAAAACTTGAGTAAAACAAAAAAAGAAATCTGGCTTAACAATGTAATAAACCTCCTGTGCTTTCACCTTCTTATATATACAAAGTGGTACCCGTCTTTTGGAGATGTAATGATATCAAGAAGGACACTTACCTCTGACAGCTTCATCCTGAGATAGAGAAGCTTTTATCAGATAGGGGACTGCCCATAGCGTAGGCTGCTGCTTGTTTCTTTTCTGGATTTCATCCTGCCTGAAAAGCTACCTGGAAGCTACGCTGTTGGCTTAAAGCCAAGCCTTAGAAAAGCCACAGTGTCTTCTACATACAGCTGCACTGCATCTCTTGTTCTCACTTGAATAACGCTCTATTTTATTATGAAAACCTTGAAGGCATACATTTAGCTTTGCGTATGTAGATATTACACTGGGATGTCTGGTTGTTCACTTTAATCCTATTGCAAGTGGATTTTATTAACTTTAGAAAAAGTGGCATTAATCTTCAGTATCTAAGTCAAGTGTAATTTGCCATGATGCCTAGTAATCGTCTTCTCTTCACTGTACAAACCAGATTAGAGTAGAATGTATAAGCAAAATCTTAATGTGGGTTTTCTAGGGCTTCCTTCATTCCTGATCACTGACAGGAGCAATCAATTGTTGCGGTAGTTTGCATGCTACCTTCTTCATGATTGAAATAAAATTGCATGTGACAAATGAGTAAAGAAATCCTAGCTGTTTTCTTACACATTATATATACATTATATACACATACATTTATAGATATGTATTTATCAATCATACCTTCATAACTTACCAGGCATAAAGACTCTATTCTTCACCTGACCTTTCACTGCTTTCTTTGACCTCTGATAAGCTTTGGCATGTTGTTAGAAATATGCAATATATACCACTTTAGAAGACTGTCTGCAGAGACCTCTCATGGTTAATATAAAGAGACATTAGTAGGAGAAAGCAGTTTTCGTGCTCAGTATAGGTGCAGCATTCATAAGTAAATATTAATATAATGCAAGAGTTCCTCAAGAGAAAATTGTCTGTCGTTCAGCCAGAGGTTTATTGCCTTGTCAGCTACGCTTGCCTGCCCTCTTCTTAAAAACTCCTGTGAAAGTAATGGCTGTTAGTGTCTCCAAGGTAAACAGTTTTAGATATAGTATTTATCTAGTCTCATATTTAACCTTCCTCCCCCAGGATGTACGCATGCAAGCTAAGGCAATTACTCCGTGTCCTACCACTACTGCCCACAGGCAGGTGATCGATCTCGTCTTTAAAGCAGCTGCTTACATGCATGGAGATTGCTGTCCTCTTCTCACACATCCCTCCATTCTTTTATTTTCTAAGCAATTTTTCCAGACTTACTCTTCTTGCTGGTCTCCTTCAGATTCTTTTCAACTTAACTACATTTTCCTTAAATGTGGTGCCCAAAACAGGATGCTAATCCCCAGTACCAAGCATAGCATATTTATCTCATCTTTCTTACACATGCCCTTTCTGTTAGTATCTCCACGGGTGAGAAGTCTCTATGTCTCCTTCCACTCCCAACACAGCTTTGCCACATGATTGGCTCATGTTCTGCTCAGACACATACCTCTGCCAGGCTTCAAAGTTCAGTTCTCTTATTCCAAAATTCATCTGGGCATGCAAACTAATCTATAATTTAATAATGGCATCTTGTGTATTCCAATAAAGAGCTGAAGAAACCTTTGAGTCCTAGTTAACTTAGATGAAAAAGTTGTATAGGGAGGAAAAAGTAGCTCCCTATCAAACTGCATAGCATACAGCTTTGTAAGAGAAGCACGCTTCCCTGAAAATGAAGCGAACATCAGTGACTTATATCCACGGGTGAGCTAGGACAAACCAGGGTGCACAGGGTGTCAGTGTTCCTGGCCAGGGTTACATGTGAATTTCCTACGGCGAAGTGCAGTGTTGATTTTTTTTTTTTTTTCTTCTTCTGCCACCTATTTTCTAAGCCTACCTGCCTATTTACATTTAGATAGTGAAATCAGATGGAAAGAAACTATTTTGTAAAGTGTAATCGTTTGTGTTCAGTAAACTCCATCTGGCCTTTATGGTGTATATGCAAACTGCTGCAGGAAGATGCTCAGATAATTAAAACCTTCAAATACAACCTAAGACAAATCTAATTTTCTTCAAAAGTAGTTGCTGAATATACCTCTGCCACATCTTGACTCTGAGAGAAGGACAAGGCTATTTGCTATTCATCTTTTTGCTCAAGTTTCCTTTGAAGTGAATCTTGTATACACGTCCAGGTAGTGTGTCCCTGGAGTACGTTTGATCCCCAGCTTAAACAACTGGGGACCACGAGTGTGAAACAGAGCTCGAGTCCACTGGAATAAAGCTGGGCAGCTCACGTTCCTGCTGCTTAGTCATATCACAAAACACAGGACCATTTCCTAGGCTGCTCCTAGTGCATTTCACAGGCACTAATTATATGGCAAAACCAAGACTAAAATTGTGCCACTTTTTAAAATAATGGCATCATCCCAAACAATTTCATGCCTTTATAACTAAAGGATGACAACTACTCAGTAGGATCTTTGAAAAGACATTTAAAAAAAAAAAAAAAATCCAAGTTATAACCACAATTCCAAACATTCAAACAGTGAAGAGTGCGTATTATATTAATGGGTGGAGACTTTTGCCTCCCCTCCACCTCTTCCCACTCCCCGTTCTCCATTTAGTATCAGTGGTACTAGGGAAATGTATAGAATTAGCTGCAAAGATAGATGTTTTATCTATTTAGCCTCCTCTTCTGCCCCTATTTTCCACCTGTAAATGTCAAAGCCTGAGAACAATTCCATTGCTTTAATTCATAATTGCAATTCGGGATTGGTCTACCCCCAAGAAGCCCAGTCAGCCCTTCAGGCTTTCAATACACACCACTGACTGGGTGAAATTTTATGTTGTTCTGTTCTCAGAAGCTGTGTCTGAAGCTTTGCATAAAGAATGTGAACATGTATCCTTTTATGTATCAATAATGTGTGTATCCCTTTATATATCAATACCTGGTCTATGATATTCATGCTATTGTACAAGAGATCTGAAGGACAATGCAAAGATCACAGGTGCATATGTGAAATACAGGGAATCAAGAGTTGTAAGAAAACTTTGCTACCTGACAGGGTCATTTTTTACCTCCTGAATTATTGTCATTGACTCGATACCACAAAAGGCCTTTGGCAGCCTGTGGTCTGCCTGCTTACAGAAGCAGAAGCCAGCATGTGAATTAGGCTGACTGAGTGTTTGGATTTTTTTTTTACTGAGCCTTTGTGCCAGAGGGGATGTACTGTAATTATCTATGTTCTCCATACCTATTCACTTTTAATTGAAAGGCCAAGATTGTATTAAAATTGTCATCGTCAAATTGATCCTTTTTATTCTTATTATTTTTAGATGTCTGTATGACAAGTAGGTGGACTAATGACACAGTATGAAGTGGAAGTAAATTCAAACTATCACACATGTAGAGGGACTGTAATTATGTCTCTCAAAGGCATAATATTTGGGTAATCAGCAGACGAACTTTGACTATTTAAACGCATAGTTGGATACATCACTAGTGTTCATGGCATTTCAATGTAAAACACTGTCCAGTTATTATATTTGCATGGATAACTTATCATTAAATCTACATCACTTCAAAAAATACTGTGCTTTGATGGCAAATATTCTGGTAGCCTGTGCCCCCAGGTAAGGGTGCGAGAGCAGGGAGGGCACGGTGAGGCGCTGCTCTGTTGTGCACACATTATTGCAACTGGTGCTTGACAGAAATTTGTCGTGGTTTGTTTATTCCCTGTGTATGCAAAAACATGGTAATGCAGTCTGAATTATTGAAGGGTGTGGTAAAAAAAGAAAAAAAAAAAAAAAAACAAACCACAAATTTTCTTGCCTGATAAGCATGAGGGAGAGAATCGGTGCTTTGTTATCATTTAGCACTTGAGAAGGAGATAATGTCAAGATAAAATATTTATTAGTAAGGGATGAACAAGTAGCATCAGGTAATTTTCAGGTGCTTAAGAGAGTAAGTCAGGCTCATCTCACTCACATGAAACCATCTTGCTCTGTACCAGTAAGATATCTCCTGAACTAGCCTAAGTCCTCATGTAATGAATTCATGTCAGGCTTTTACCTTCAGGTTTTCCTGCAAAGTTCTTCTAATAATTCTGTTAGAATCCATTTTTCTGGATTCTCCTCTCCCCAGGCCTGTGGCTTAGGTGCCTGTGGCAGTCACCCCGTAACAGATTATAAATCAGAATAGTGGAATGGGTTATGAAGGCCTGGAAACAGCTGCCTTGTGCTGGAGTGCCAGACGCGCTAGAAATAAATTGAGGACTTCATTGACTTTAGATGAATTACGCTGAATGGCCAGGTACTGTAGGAATCACAGCTCCATCTAGAGCAGATAAAACCTTCGGTTACTGCTGGCTCACTAATTTCAAACCCTGAGAGTGGTTCTCTGACCTAGACTGCCTGGGATTTTGAGCTGCAGTAACAAACTCCTACAGTTTCTAATACTAATGCTTTCTTTCTACTCAAATTCAGGCAGCTTATTTGGCTTCATAACGAGCATGCCATGACAAAGGGAGACCATAACAAAGATACATAAGACCTGTATTTATCTTCAGAAAATAATCAGTAAATATATTACCAATAGCTAGTGATGCATGTACATGTAGATTTCTCTTTATAGGCCTGTATCAAATAGATTTGGGCAAACCTTTTTCTTAGGCGTATCTATAATGATTTTTCATTTAGCAAGTTTGTCTTACATGTTTAGTCCGGATAGTACTTATTTTGAAGGGTAGGAGCCCAGTAAAACCAGCCAATAATATCAGAGTTTCAGATTTTCCAGTGGAGGATAAGCAACAGAGATAGCAGATAAAGAAGATTAAATTGCATGAAAGCCTAATGGACATACAAAATTTAAAAAAAAAAAAAAAAAACAGGTAGGATTTCGTAGCACTTTCATCATAGCCATTTACAGAGCAGGTATCATTATACTCATTTTAAATACCGTGAGACTGGGGAAAGGGGGTAAAAAACAAGAGATGAGTAAAGAAACAAGTATAGGAGCTTAGTTTTCCTAGCTCCAACTCTATGGTCTAGGAGAAAGTGTTTTGTTTAATTTATGCGAAGGTAAATTATGTAAGATTATCTTTGATCCTGGCAAAGGATATTGCAAAGAATATCCTGATTTCTGGCAAAGCAGAAAATTGAAGAGGTGATATGTGTTCAAATGAGATGTGTATTTCTCAAAAATGGTGGAAGTGAAAAGGGATTTTCTGATGCTGAATGGTCATGTTTTTTTAATTTCAAAATAGACTATTTGGATTACAGCAAGCCTTATAATTTTCAAAGGTAATAGCAATAGAAAACTATGCATTTAGTTTGATACGACTCTTCAGATTTTCTGCATGTGCTGATATCTGGACATCTGCTAAAATGTGAATGTTGCAAAATCCTTTGGGGGGAATTGTTTTTTGTTAAAATGCTTATTTGTCTAAAAAATATGTACTAGAATATTTTTGCTGTTCTTGCTCTTAAATTATTCAAAAAACGAGTCAACAAAGTCTTCTTTTAAATACAAACATAAGATTGACATTTTTATTACAAATTGGGGAGCAGAATAGCAAAATTATAGTTTTACACTCTATTCAGTGGCAGTTGATTTCTTTTTTAGCTACATTTTAATACTCTCCTTATTTTACTCTCATTTATGGTAATGCTGCATGTATCTGTAGGCTTGTATAGAGTTACAGCTGAGACTTAGCAAAAAAAATTTATTTCCTTATAATGGAATCTAGGGTGATGTACCTTCATTTTTCACTAAAACAAACAAAGCCAGAAGAACTTTGTTTCATTGAGTTTATAATCTTCCTTACTCTGCAATAAAGCAGTCCCAAAATGTTAGGAGACTAATTAATGTCATTTTGTGTAAATGTGTTTCTCCAATTGTGTAAATTACTTTTTCCATAAGATTATAAAGGTAAAGACCTTCTATCAAATATGATATTTCCTGCCCTTGCCTAAAGTGCTCATGTTCTAGCCACGAGCACATTTTTCCGTGTGACATCTGGCAATTATTTCTCTAGGGTTCGGCAAGAAGGGCTCCATTTTCCTATCTTAACATGAAATTGAAAGCATGAGCCTGAAGCCACCCACAGAAATTCGGACTCTTTAGAGAGTAAGATTCTGAAAACTTCAAAATGATACTTCTGTGTTTCACAGAACCAGCCATTATGCTGATGCAAGAAAAAACAGCTTAACTACTCCCTGCCTCGAGGGCTTTCTTACGTGGCACGTCGTAGGTTTATGTTCTGCCATCCCTCTATTCAAAACGCAGCCGAAGCAATTGCTGGAGAAGGAGGCCAGCCTGGCTGCATCGCCACGAGCCCACTGACTTCACCTAGCTCTGTATCTCAGTTCCTTTCGAATCAAATGGCACCGTCTCCTTCCCTCCAGGGGAGGGATCAGCAGAGGTGAGAGGAGGCTTGGGGCTTGTCTGAGGTGGCAGTGCTACCGTCAGAAGCAGCAAGGATCATCAGTTCCCTCTTTTATGTCTCCACCTGGCTGGGAATTTGAAACATTTCGTCTCGAACTGAACGCCTGTGTTGGTCTGGCTTGGTCCCTGCTGGCGGTGGGCAGGGGGATGGAGCTCAGAAGCCCCTGCCAGCCGTGGGGCATGGTGGTGGCACCTCCTGCCTGGGCTCCAGCAGCCCCACGAGCTGCACATTCCTTTCCAGATGCGGTCCACGGGGTTGGGTTTGATCTGTAAAAGTCCTTTGCAGTTCACCTCTCAGGTAGCGTAGAGGCAGTTTTGTCCTGGCAGTTGGGGTGGGCTGGGGAGCACCCTGTGACAGGTCTGTGCTGGGAGGGCTGGCGTCCTCAGCATGCAGCCCGGGCTTCCCCCCGCCCGCCCCTCAGTGCAGGCAGCGCTCGGGCTCCTCGGCATGGCACCTGCGCTCGAAGTCTGCTGAGTTTCGCGGGCGACTTCTGAGCCTGTGGGACGAGCGGGAGACGTTTCATTTGGAAGTTCTTTCTGTTCGTGGTGGTAGGTTTTTGTTTGTGTAAATTTAGGATATGGCTTTCCCCCGGCATTGACATTCTTTATTGGAAATCAAAGTTCACTTTATTACTATGTGTAGAAAAAAGGTTGGAAAAATGGGATTGATTTCTTTATCATCCCCACATCTAAAAGTGTAAGTGGATCTGTTGTGAAAAGACTAGGACACAGGAGAGCTCCCCTTGTTTCTTGGCTGTGCCTTGGACTCACCGAGGGTCCCTGGACATTTGTAAATGGGTATACTGTTGCTTCTCAATAGAGTATGAGAAAATCAAAATCATTTTTATGTTCTCAGTACTGTTATGGAGCAGCGCTGGGAATTGTGAATAAACTTATAATGAATAGAAAATACAATGTACTTTTTGTGACTAAAGGACATCATCTTACTGATTTCCAAGTTTGCAAGAGAGAGACATCAGGCTCTCTAGTCTGGCTTCTGTGATGAAACACTGGTTTCAAATACTGCTATTTATTTTCTGTGTCCTATTTGTTGGTCCACAAGTAATGTGGAAATTCAGTGTTTACTTAGTTTTAAGGGTTGTGTGCAAAATGAAGGTTTGTCTTTTGGTCAAAAGGGAGTCTGCGAAGTAGGATGGGATCCATAAAAACTGTATGCCAAGACAGATTCCCTCTCTGACCTTTGCCAAGCCTCTAAGACATATCTAGGGACATTTTGCAGGTCTGAACTGCAGCCTGTGTTACTTATATTTAATCCAATTTGTGCAATATTAACCATGAAATTACAGATGCTTAGGCTCCAGCGTGGGCTGAATTTAGGTTTCTAGTTAACACTAATGTCCACATTTCTATTGTTAACCAAGCTAGTTAATTTAAAGCTGGTGAGTGTATGGCTCCCCTCAGTGCAGGTACACTTTATGGAAGTGTAGGCAAAGCAATTAATATCTTTACATTTTGTTTCTTACTGGTTAGTCATTGGAAATAAGAGCACTCCCTTCCTATACAGGTTATTGTGAGGATAGGTGTATGATCAGACTGTAGCACAATGGGGGTTGCAGAGGTACCTCAAATAGCTAGTTTAGTGTGAAATCTTCAGAGTATATCCCTGTACAAGTTGTGCATCCCTGGAACTGGAAACAATTTTAAACTATCACAGTTTTCTCTATTCAAATACATTCACTCCAGAATTACCTTAAGTAACAAGTTTTTAGGACTTACTTTTCTCATGTGAGACTCACAAATCAGTCTTAAAAACCTCTGTCAAAGCTGGCACCATTGGAAATTGTCTCTTTCCTCTAATTCTCATGTTGCAGAAACTCAGCCTGAGGTTGTGTGCATTTTACTAATTTGACCTATGGCAGCAAATGGTGGCCGTAATCAGAGAGAGATGTTCCCTTAACTGCAATATTAGTTGTAATGGTAGCTTTAATTCTTTTTGAGTTTTCATCATTTAATGATGGCTTGCTTCTCTTGTGACTGTAAAAAATGTTTAAGACCCAGATGACATTTTTGCACTCTCCCCTCTGCACAGATGACCCCATCTGAATCTGTCTTTCTGTGACTGTCTCTGACGGCTTTGGAATGGGAGATTTGTGCATGTGGTCACAGTCACTGCCTTGTGCAGTTGGAGGCTTGGCGTTAGTGGAACAGAGCAACATCGTGGCCCCTCATTTTCCTTGGATGCCCTAGAAAACATGGGGTGAAAGCACTAACAGGAAATTCACTTGAAATGCCTTACGAATAGCCCTCTTGTGCTGTGCAAAGGGATCTAGGATATACGCAAGGACCTCGTACTAGCTTTTTCATCCTTACTGCTGTATGACTGTCTCGCCAGTTTCCGAACATTTTATAACTGAAAATCAAGCATACTTAACTTACCGTTTATTATTATCTGTGCATATTATGCTAGACATAAATATATACACATGTGCATATATGTATATATATGTACATGCGTACATTATGTGTACTATATTATGTATCTATAGCTTCAGTAGATTTTGCACTGTAATGTATTTTACTCTCTATAGTGTACAAGATGTTTCCATGACAAATGGCAATAGCATTTTCCAGCTTGCACTGTTTTTACACCAGTATAATGGTAATTGAGAATCTCAGAGATTCATTTAAAATAATCGATCATACAAAATTATATTAATTGTATTACAGTCAAATGGACTGTTTTGTTTTGTTTTGCTCCTAGGGGGGCAAGATTCCTATCCGATGGACATCACCAGAAGCCATTGCATATCGGAAGTTCACATCAGCCAGTGACGCATGGAGCTATGGGATTGTTCTCTGGGAGGTGATGTCTTATGGAGAGAGACCGTACTGGGAGATGTCCAACCAGGATGTGAGTATATTGTTATCTATGTTCTCAAATAAAGGATCAAGCTGTGAAAGGAAGCGAAGCATAATGAAACCAGGTGGCTCTGACTTTTTGACGTTGACATTGAATAAGATGTAGAAATGAAAATCTCCAAATCTCCCTGGTCAGGTAAAAGTTCTAATGAACTTAACAAAAAGCCAACATCTTTTTAGCAGGGTATTTGTGACCTCTGAAGGAATATATTGGAGAATTTTATCATGCTGGTGGTTTTCTGTAGGATGATTCAAACAATTCCACTTCAATGAGGTCATTGCCTTTTACATTCCTTAGCTTATTGTTAGAAAACCCTCCTAAATTTCTGTTGATCCCCTTTGGTTACACTTGTATAATATTCTGTAGAAGTTTTCTGTAAACGTCAAATATACAGAATAAATTGCTCTTGGAGCTTGTGAAAAAAAGAGCCAAAGCATTTCTACTAATATTTTAATGAAACTAAAATACTTCTGGAAGTAATCAACGGATAAAATAGGGAAGTAGAGTGATCTGATTAGAAGACTTCCAATACAGGCTTCTTTGCAGCGTTAGTAAACTATTCAAGCCTGCAATCCAAATGATTAATGGATCTCTCCCAGTATTTTTGTAAGAAGCATAACATTTCCCCAAATAAGATTTTTATTATATTTATTTTGGGTTCTTTTTCTGTTGTCTTATTAATCTTAGATTTATTCCAGGGGAGTTACTTATGAACTGAATTTTCTGAAGTACAGTCACTAACACAAATAGATTTTCCAAGGGGTTGGTATACATCTTTACTAGTAATAAATTTTAAAAAGTCAGTAACATAGTTGTAGTCAGATATTCTCTATACTACTTTATGTTAAACAAGGAAAAAGATAAGAGAACTTCCCTTCAAATGAGTACCTCTGGAATGCAAGTGTCTGCAGAAAACTATGTATTTCTTTTCATTAGTTATAAATGTTTTTTCTATTGTTTGTGGAGATTAATGAATCCTGTTACGGAGGATGATAGACTAGTGGAATGCCTTTAATAGTATCACATTAAGATCAGAAACAGAAGGATTGACCTATTTATGTGCCTCTGCTTCATGGCTGCTTAAACCATGGACTGTTTTCCTGTTCCTGTTCTGACTCAGAATAGTTTTTCCTGCTTTTGAATTAACTGATCCAGATGAAAAGGAAAGGTTAACAGAATATGGCTTTAACATTTTCTACTTAGAATACATTGGGTTTTTATTCATGCCACAATAGATACTGTAGGACGGATCAAGAGGTGTTATACTCTAGTGAAAAGGTTGTATTAAAAAGCTTCATAACAGTGTAAATCCTGGGCTTTTTTTTTTTGTCAGTCTAGACAGATGATAGAAAATCTAGACAAATTTTGTCAGTCTAGACAAATGATAAAAGAATTGGGCCTCCACTGCCTGGTAGGAAGTGTACAGTTATCCTCGTGGTAAGTTTTAAAAATATTTTCTGGCCCTGTGAGATCAATTGCAACCAAATTTGTCCAGAAGACCTCCTATCTATCGGTTCAGAATGTCCCATGAGAGGGTGGGTTGGTCTTCTGCCGAGTGCAGTGTCCACTGGGGAGTGTGGAAAGCATGTGTGGCTAAGGGTGGTCAGACGAGAGATATTCAAGACCTTTTGAAGTTTGGCATAGTTAAGCAAGCACTTTATTAACTGTAGCTTTGTTTATGGATTTAGTTCAATCAAGCGTAAGTTTTGGAGATCCTTTCTAGACTCTCACCTTCCTCAAAGTCACGTACTGTATCTGAACTCCCCTTTCTGTATGCCTAATTTACTGCCTGGTTTACTTTGCAGATAAACCAGAGGCATTGCACGACAAGACAACTAGTGAATAAACACATTTGTTTAAACACAGAATGTCCGTGTTAATGTGGTTCACAGAACTGATAAAAACAAGTTAATTTAAGGGCCTTTAAGTTTTCAAAAACTTTTATGCTTGTGCAGGTGATTAAGGCTGTCGATGAAGGGTACCGCTTGCCACCTCCTATGGACTGCCCAGCTGCCTTGTATCAGCTGATGCTGGACTGTTGGCAGAAAGACAGAAACAACAGACCCAAGTTTGAGCAGATTGTCAGCATCTTGGATAAGCTGATCCGTAATCCCAGCAGTCTGAAAATAATCACCAATGCGGCGGCAAGGTGACATACTAGATCTTACATTGCTCATAAATAAATGTCGTTGATTTCTTCATCTTCCACAATTAGAATTTGTTTACTTTGTTCACCAGCTTCTTCAACTTTTAACCGTAGCTGTTTGCAATCTTGAAGGCTGGAGAAAGCTTCCTGACTATCCCTTCGGGAGAAGGATTTAATATTATTATTATTTTTATTATTGCTGTTATTTTTATTAATAATTTGCTATTATTTATTCAAATTGTGAAAAGCTGTTATGCTAGGGTTATGAAACCTATTGTAAGATTGAGCAGAGGTTTGGGAGAAAAACACAGATGGCAGATTTGGCCGTCATGTGATCTTCCTTTTCCCTCTGACTTTATGTGGTGTTTTAAGTGCTTAGTGTTTCATAGGTTACAGCTAGCCATGTTCCTAAGTATCTTTCTGAATTGGGTCCAAACACATATCCTACACTCTTATGCTCTGCTCTGACAAGTCACCTTAACTTTTATCGTATGAATAATCATTTTGCTTTCAGTAGGACTCACAAACTTAAAAATGCACTTACGTTCCCTGTTAGATCAATGCCTTGACTAGGAATTCATTTCCAACCTGTGCAATATTCCTAACTGCATTAAAAACATTCATTTATAATCCTGGTTATTCAACACACTCTGGAACATCACTATGATGAGATAAGAATTATCTCACTGAGAGAGAGGTAACTAAAGAGTGTGTTGACACTTAAGGACATAATGAGGATGTGGTGAAATAAGAGCTTTGGTTAAGTAGGGTTTAAGTGAATTGGTTTATGTAATGCACAGAATGTCATACTCTTACTGAAGTGATCTGAAAACGTGTAAAATTACTTTTAGCATGAATGCTAGGGCAAAATCCTCTGTCCGCAAAGCAGGCAGAGTCAGGGAGAAATGCACTCTGCTGCTTCAGACCCAGGTCTTGGAGAGTGTTTCAGTGGGCAAGAGACCAGAGTCTGACATAAGGCAAGCTTCAAAAAGGAACACAACAAAATATTCCTCTCAGACCTTTACAGGTGACGCAGCACACTTCTCGCCATAGCAATCAAAAGGGAAGGCACGGAAGGGAAATGGAGCTAAGGCAGCGGGAAGAACCGCAATGATACTTGCAGCCTGCTGTGCAGGTGACATGGACCTTGCCTTCTTTTTCCTAGCCCCTGGCATTGTGTTGCATGCTGAGCTAGAGGCTGGTCATCCTAATTACCTCCTACTGCCACTCCGAGACATGAAAAAGAAAGCAAACATGGGAGGAGGAAGGCAGCCATACTAATGGATTTGCTTTTAAAAATATATAATGAGGGAATACTGCTTGTGTAGTAATTATGTTTCAATAATTTAATTGGTGAGCATTTAACACATAGTAAACCAACATGCTTACCAAAGCAATTATTTCTGTTCCCTGCCAGGTAACAGAAAACAAAAAAAAAGCCCCAAAACTGTTGGAAAAAAAAGCAAACTGTTTAAACACTATCTTCTCAGTCAAGCATATTTCTTCTAAACATCTTGCACCCCCATTTGGCAAATGATTGGTGAAAATAATTATTTTGTAGGGATATATACTGAAGCAATCTGCTGAATAGGGGAGTTGGGAATCATGACTATCACGTTTTGGTTTGGGGATTTGATTGCAGAAATCAATGCTGCATGTTTTGCATTCCAAACAGAAGGAAAATGTTCCCTGTTTACTGTCCTTCCAATTAGGGGGTTGAACCACACAGAGCTGAAAACAATGTTGAACCATCATTTCCAGTTTACCTGTTCATAGCCAGTAAAAGCTGATATCCTCTAATGGAGACCAAATTCAGTCCGAGTACTGCTTGCACCTGCTGGGTTCTACGCAGGAGCACCACAGCGCAGTATTGCTCTCTCCCAACTCTCCCGTGCTCTCTTTGTGCAGGAGCACCACAGCGCAGTATCGCTCTCTCCCAACTCTCCCGTGCTCTCTTTGCTCCTATTTCATTATATGCTTTACTGGTGTGGGCAGCAGAGGCTGCACATCGGTACCACGATGCCGTGCTCTCTGCTCACGGCACAGTGTGGGGAAAGAAGGAGGCTGCTAACACGGTAGGGGACTTCTCACAGACGCTTTAGGTGAGCTCTCAGTAAAATGCTCCTCATGGCAGGCTGCTGCTTTGGCTTCGATGTGGAGCACATTTCTGAGGAGGGGAACGTCAAAGGTGATTTTTATTCCCTCCTTCCCGATTACCTTTCCACTGCTACATCCATGCACCCCTTGCATTCCCAAGCAGTGCTGTATCTCCCCCTCTCTGCAGCTCCTCGTTCCCCGGTGACAGACAGGGGGCTGCGGTGTCCAGGCAGTGGGCACACCGGCATGGGCGAGCCCAAGCCCTTTCCCTCTGGGAAGGCATTTGTTGCAGTTCAGGGAATGTGTGATCTGTGATCTCTCCATCTCACTCTCCCCCTGTCGGTGTCTGCAGACCAACCCAGGCTATCCTTAAACTTGAGTACGACCAAGAATTAGATATGACAACATGAGGGGTGCTGGGGAGTCCTATGCAGATTTGGAAATCCGTGATCACCCCTATGTAAGCATTGCCAAAACTGACTAATCTCAAACCTCAGACCTGGCTGAAGGGCTGCAGCCAGCTCCACACCCTCTTCGTGTCCTGCAGAGAGGCACTGCTGGCAGTCATCGTGCGCCCCTTCTGCAGCGGGAGCCGGTGGTGCTGCTGGCCAGGGACTGTGCGCTGGAGGTCCAGCATCGCTTTCTGACAGACTGACAGAGAAAAATGAGAAGCCAGATTTAAAATGGGCTTGGGTCTTGCTGTAGCCTCATGTGCAGAAATATGTAAGTGATACGAAAGGGCGGTGAGTCAGGCCAGCTCCTCGAGAAGGACACCCGCAGTCAGATCCCCGCCGGTATCCTTGTACTGTCAGCAGCCGGAGAGGGACAGGCATCACTGCAGAGGTAAAGCATTCTGCGACTCGGCCCCGCGGGCCTGGGGGGTTACATCGGCTCAAATGGCTGCTCTCAGTTGTTATTTGAGGCTCCCACAGCACCTCTCTCCCTGCCCATAATAAGCAATTAATCTAAATTACAGAAGTCCCAGCTCTCTTTTGCCCATGTCTGTGGTGCTACTGGAAGAATGCTAAAGCTTTATGCCCACCATATGCTCGTAGGTGTTCAGAATATACTTGGTCAGGAAAAATGTTTAACCTGACGATATCTGTTGCAGATGCAAAGCCTGTCTCTTCTTACAGATTTTAGAGCTGATGTTTGTTTAAAATAGTCACAGCGCTGTTGTATCTTATTTAAAAGCACATTGCTGGAGGTGCGTAGGATATCCCTGTCCTCTGGTACGTTACTGTTAACTGACTTCACCTGAAGGATGTGCTCGACTGTATGATTCCAGGCCATAGCCCAGGCATGTTTTACACTAATACCTCACAGGAATACAGGAGAGGAGTCAAAGCCTTCAATTCCATATTTCCTTTTCAGTTTTCTATCCCTTCTGGCCAATCCATGGCATCTAATAATTTCTTGATACCGAGGGTATGTTTTTATCCTTATTGATCGTCTCTTCGCAGACCGTTCTACGTGCTTGTGAACCTTACATTGACAGAAGGTTTTTGTAACCTCAGCACAGCAAACATTTCATAATACCTTTCTTGGTGTTGTGTTTCATCTCGAATTCACATGAAAATTCCTTTCCTTTGTGAAGTACAGAGTATGGCTGATTTCTTTCTTACCTGTCAAAATTCACTTTTTAATCAGGTGGCCACCTTTAGCTCTTGCTAGCAAGACCTGCACTGGTTATGGAGACATGGGTGTTCTGTGTCCTTTAGGCTGCCTGCAGTTATCTAGTTCTGTAAAGGGCTGTAGGAACAGAACTCAGTACACAAAGAGTTGTACAAGTCATGCAGTTTTCTAAAGCACAACCTCATGATATTTTTATTTGATTTATGTCTTGCTGTTCTTTCCTGTTTTCTGAGCGTGATGTTCATTTTTGTAACAAGGTCCTTAGGTTGTTTGGATATCTTTAGGGTGGAAGTGAGTTCATAGTTCTTTCAGTTTTGATCAGGTCCATTATTTTTCTTCTTGAGCTTATTATTTTTTAGTCCACTGTGTATTACTTCACATTTGTGAACATTTCATGCGGATACAAAGCAGATGGAAAGTTTTCTAAACTTGAGTAGGAGAGACAGAATCACTTCACCCACCTGCTAACCAGTTGGTGAGGCTGTGGTCTGAAAGGGCTTATTAGTTGTTGTTTAATCTGTGTTGGAAAAAAAAATGGAACCCAAGAGTCATGCAGCTGGAAATACTTTGTATACACTACAAATCTTAAATGGACTCATAACACTGCATTTTCTTTATCTGTTTCTTTTTTTTTTCACTTATATTTCGATTTTTTTTCTTATTTATATTTCTGATTTTGATCTTTTTAATATATGATGGCTCTCTAGACTTACAATGTATATTATCATTTTATGTATATGAATCTTACTCTTACACAGCCATTTGAAAAAATATATTTAAAACATAGTGTATAATTTAAAATATATTTAAAGCATTTCTGTGTTCCAAACTGTTGGAGGATAGTGTGACTTTGAGGTATAAGGGTTGTGATACAGGATTCAGGCAACCCAATATTAAGGCAGCTTTCTTATAGTTGCTGTGTATGTTCACATCTGTGATGTAGGTGTGACTAAAGGCACTTAGTCTTCATGAACCTGTTATGAAACGAGTTAATCCACAGCCTCTGCCAAGAAAAAGCATTTGAAAAAATTGAAAAATGTTTCTAATTCCAACACATGATTTTTAGAAATTCTGAATTTCTGCCAGATCTGTGATTGATTTCAAAATTGAGAAGGAATCCACACAAAAAACCTACCTGCTTCTGTATTTGCTTTTGTTTCTGTATAAGCTTTTGGTAAAGTGAAAGTCAGTGTCAAGTATTGCTACTGTTGTTTCTTTATACTGCAAGCACATATTTAGGAGAAGAGGAAAGAAATTATATTGCAAACGAG